TTTATATCTTATAATTAATAATTAGCATTTTAAAATAATAATTATAATAATAATAATAATCATTATTATTTTTATTGTTGGATAGGAAAAAAATAGTTTTGAAAGTGATCACAATGATATTGTTCCTCTGTATCGTTATAGTTGTGGTGTGGACTATGCTATTCTTTAATATTGAGAACGATTTTTAGAACTATATCTTTATCGTTATCTTTATAGTTGTCGTGCTTGGTGTGAACGGGCCTTTAGAGCCTTCCTAAGCCTAAGTCCGAAGACTTTTTCTCTCTTCAAAACCCTTTTCTTTCTTCAATTTTTTTGTTCTCTCTTCAAAACTTTGTTCTCTCTAAAAAGCAACACAAGTGAGAGGAAAAAAAGATGGCTAGCTAACATTAGCATGCGGTACCAACGTCGGCCACCAGGTGTCACTATCAGTATGCATGAAATTAATGCTTAAACCACTTTAAACCTTGAATAATATATTTACGCGAATGATTTGCATGTCGTAATCAAGACGAAATCAGGTTATATACATTGGTTGACATGTATAATAGCTAGAGTTGTTTTTAGCTGTATATTCTAAACATGCGCTACAGTTGCTTGCTGTCCTGTTTTCCCAGTGCCACAAGCTGGAAATATGGAGGTGGCAGTCTTAACTTTGATAAAGAATATCTCTTTGGTTTTGAGACTTTAGTCTTTGCAACTTCAGGGATCTTATCTATGCACAATCAGCTTGTAACACTCCAAAGAGAAAGGAAAACTTGAAATCGCATCATATGACCCCTTTAAGCATTAATTTCATGCATACTGGTGGCCGATGTTGGTACTGCATGCTAATGTTAGCTAGCCATCTTTTTTTTCGCTCTCTCTTGTGTTGCTCTTGGAGAGAAGAACAAGTTTTGAAGAGAGAAAAACGTTTTGAAAAGAGACAAAAAAAGGTTTGAAGAGAGAAAAACTCTTTGAACTTAGGCTCAGGAAGGAACTAAGACACTATTCCCCCCCCACCCCCCCCACATTGATTGATTTTTTTTTTACATTGCAGTTCAGGGCTTCCGTAGAATGCAGAGTGATATATAAACGTATAAGGGATCATGTACAATGAGTCTGTTATTATCAGAAAATAAACACTGACCCCGACATGAGGTGGAGGTGTCTTTTAAAACCATAGTGAGGTCTATTTAGTGATGGACAATATATTGATACCATATTGGTTATCAGACAATATTAGAGTTTTTTTTTTTTTTTGCTTTTGTGTATTGCATACTAGTTTCCCCTATTGTTACTTTTAGATAAATTTTATCATCATCTAACATTCACTTAAATTGAATCTTTAAAAACAAATTATTAAAAAAATTTTACAGAAATTGTTTATTTATATATATATGTATAATCATATAAAAAATATTAAATTACAATTTATATTAATCTTATGTGAAAATTAAAGTTAAAATAATTATATTAAAATGAATATATATATTTGTGTTCGTATAAATACATATATTTTAAATCAAAAATTGTAAAAAATCAAACATTATTCTATTGATTTTTTATTATGCTAATGCAGAAATAAGCCAAAGTAGTTAATCATGAAATGGTCAAATATTGGCCAATGAATCTTCTTAGCAGTTTGTGATTGCGAAAGATATTGGTCTAATTTACAACCTAGTGTACGTAAAATTTGGTATTCGATTAATTCTTTCCTCTCGTTTCTTTCAGACGGCTTGTTCTAGTCTTAATGAATACCTGCGAGGGCCGTTGGGTCGTTACCTGCTCAACGTGACGTCGGCCGCTGAGCAGTGCAGCCGAAACCTCTGCAGATTTCGCGGCCGCTGCCTTCGCAAACGTCCCGACACGGACACGTACCTGCATCTCAGCCCGAACACCCACAGCATAGAACGGCAGGGAAACACGCTGAAGGTCTCGGGCCAGATGGGAGAAGAAGAGCTGAGCCGCGTACGGGACGAGTTCCAGTGTCAGTGCTATAACGGGTACGTCGGTGGCGACTGCAGCCAGAGGGATGCTGGGAATAGAGCTGCGCTCGTCTGGACCACGTTTTTGCAAGTTCTGCTGTTGCCGCTGCTCTTGATGGGGTTCCTGCACTGAGGAGTTCAGTAGAAGTGGTTTGAGGACGATACGCCGGACCTTCTCGTCAAGAAATGCGTGACGTCAGCAGGAGGAAGGCCTTTTGTTCGATAGAATTTGAACAGAAATGGAGGATTTGAATGCGCACGCTAACTCTGTGGACTGTATGTACAGCAGTGTGTTTTTTTTGTTCGAGTGCATCGCCCCCTGCTGCATGGGAGGCTGAACTGCGACATGCGGAATTGTGATTTTTGGCTAGGTTTGATGTTTGTGTATGCGTGAAAGAAATTTGATCTTGTCTGTGTGCATTTTTTATAAAAAAAAAAAATGTATGTGGTTGTGTTTCTTTGCCTTCATACCTGCGTGAAACCAGTTGTGACCTTATTTCTGCTGTGTGTCACAGGACCAGCTCCTTAAAAGGGACATGTTTTGTTACTTGGAACGCTGCTGCCTCATTAAAACCTCACTTAGATTGAAACCTGTTTTCCATATCACATTTCACTCCAAAATTAAGAAATTAGAGAAATTACATTTTGCATGAGGAAAATGAAGCCTGTTTTAGGATCATTTTCATTATTTTTTCCATTGGTTTTCTTTTGATTTCATGACATTTGTGCATTTTCATCCAGAAATTCTCATAACACGTTGTTGTTGTTGTTGTTGACATTATTACTATTTTCAGTGTGATTTCTCATTATAGTATAGCATTTGTTTCTTTACAGTAAAAAAGAAAATGATGATAAATTTGAAATTAAATCATAATAAATTAAAGGCAATACAAAATTCTACCATGAGATATAAAATGCCAATTTAAAATATTATGCTATAAATTATTATACTAAAAATTGTTAAAATACTAATATTAAATTAAAATTTTAATTCATGAAATGTCAGATTTCTCTCCAAAATTAAAAGCCTGTTTTAGGATCATTTAGATTTTTTTTCCTCCTAGAAATTATAATGCATTCCAACGTGTTTTTTTTTTTTATTCTCATGATTCTCAATGTGATTCTCATTATAGTAATTTTACAGTAATAAGAATAAGATAAGAAATCAGTTTGTAAATGTGCTTAATTATGATGAAAATGTCACAACGGATCTTAATGGTCCTATAATTAGGTTTCTTTATGCAAAATATAAGTTTTGTCATTGTTTTCTTTTAATTTGGGGGTGAAATATGACTTCAGACATGTTCTTGACAGGTTTTCTTAGACCACTGCTGGATAGTGAGGAATTTTTGAAAATCTTGTGACGACTTTTGCCAAAAACATGTACATGTCAAATCAGCGAACTGCGGTTCACACAAGCAAAGATGCCGCCTTATTTTTCTGCCTGGGTTTCACAAATCTGTTTTGAGGCAGGATTTGCCTCTTTTACTGCTGAACTTTATTCGTGTGGGATAAACTGGAAAGGCTTTGTGTATTTTCAGAGTTTGTGTCATCACAGGAAAACAACTACACCATCATAAATCTGCGTTTTGTTTTTCCTGTAGTTATTTTTTTTGTCGTTGTAGTGCCTTTAAAGGCATAGTTCACCCAAAAATGAACATTCTGTCATTTACAAACTGCTTTCTTGTCTGGACAGCAAAGTAGGTAATGATAGAAATTGCATATTTGGGTGAACAGTCTCTTTAATTGACTGTGTTAAAGAACCTCACAAGTGCAAAATTACACCTAAAAGCTTCATTTTTATTTTTATACAATAGAATTTTGATACCAAATTCTGCTTGTTCTGTCCAGATTGACTCGTATAAAGTGAGTTATACAAGATCAATCGCGTTCAGGTTGAATTGTATCAGGTGTTTGGTGACTGAAAGTGTTCGTTTTATATTTTTACAATAAATCTCATATTTAAAAGCAAAGTCTTGCTTGTAATTTTTTTATTTTTTACAAAGTAACTCCAGTAGAGTCCGAAACCATGTTGAAAATCTGGGGTTTGTTTCATTTAAACTGGACATTTTTTGTTGAAACATTGAATCGTTATGAGACATATTTAGGAATCTGTTTCTAAACGTCATTTTCCCCTCATCCTCACTAGCTAGTTCACTTTTCCTCTAGTTTTTCCAGCCCTTGGTTTCTTGTTTTCTAGGTCCTGCTCCGCTCCTGAGGGGGTAGTCGGACCGTGCCAAAGGGAACATTACGGGCTGGCAGCACAGAGAACGTCTTGTGTTATTATAACTCAAACCAGACATCCAGTCTCCTTTTATTCTCTCTCTCTTCTTTGCTCTGGGATCTTCCGTGTGTTTGCTGCTGTGTGGGAATAATACTGGAATCTGCGGCTCAGACTGTGGTCCACATGTCTAAGCCAATACGTCATCTTGCACAATATTACATGGGGCTCTGCTGAACAATGCACATAGTTCTCTCTGTATTTGACTAGAATAGAAATCAAAACTATTTACTAAAGTAATTCTGCATACGTTTTTTTTAAAAATAACATCTCATTTATCCCTTAGGAAAATTAGCCATGATTTTATTATAGTAAAAGTGTATGGTTTTTGGTGCATTGATTACTATTTGTATAACCAGAATTTTACTACAAATACCATGGTTAAACTATGGTTAGTCTAGCAAAACCGTGGTTACCATGGTTTAACTTTATTTGTAGTGAATCCATGGTGCACGCAGAAAAATTATACGGAGTTGATGTGGATGACTGAAAGAACCATCCACATATCGTTTTTTCTCCTGCCTCATATTATTTACATCACAAACAAGTTTTGCTAGCGAACGCAATTGTATTTCAATATAATTGTTCCTCCCTTCACCTTTTTTCCTCTTATCACCATGTCTCTTTAGAGGCTCAGTAGTTTTCCAATTGTGTAGTAACATGCCCTATTATTATGAGATATTATTTCGGAACAACTCTGAAAGATTTCCAAGGAAAGGTTAACTTACAGCCACAGGAATGAGTCAAGCGCGACTAAAAAGAATCGGAACCATCGCACGCGTTTACCCGTTTCCACACGGAACTATTATTGTGGGTGACGCATTAACGCTGCGCTATCATCACTGCATGCGAATTATGATCAATCTCAAACTTTCCGACAGTCATCGATTATTGGATATTTACAGGGTTTCGTATATTGTTTAGGTAAGTACTAAATGTACGACATAGCTGTCATGTTATTGCATTTATCGCCATGTTGGTTGCAGCTGCGGTACGTCTGCGCACTTTATCTCAGCGACGTTACTTAGATGTAGACTTTTATGCATCAACTACAAAAATTGTAATTACGCATACTCTTGTTTTAAAGTATTTTATAAATTCGATCATGCATTTCAGATATTTTCGTGTTTATTTTTCGTGTCACCCAGTTAAAATGGAGTCTGGGGGTTTAATCTGCTGCGATTAATGAGATGAATGGTTGCTCCTCGTGTCAGCTGGTTAACCCGAGTGTGATTGTTTCATCTGCTGTAATTAAATGGGTTTACATGCAGATGATGAATTTCTTCCGCAACCGTCTGGTGGTTTTGGGGCTGGTGTTGCTGGCCACCGTGCTGCTGTATCTGCTGCTGCCCTCCATGCGGCAGGGGAGCATGGAACCGTCTCTGGAGGTGCAGCAGCGGAGGGGTCTGGCCGCCTCTCCTCCTCCGCCGCCGCCAAACAGCATCAACATCACGGTCAGGACCGGACAGCTGCCCGGAGACCCGCCGCTCTTCTTCAGAGAGGCTCTGCCTGTGGACAGCGCCGGGCTACAGATTGTGCCCAGGTCAGGTTACTTTATCATTTAAGTTCTATTCTATAGTTATATAATGGCTGTATTGAGCTGCATAGATAGACATTAGTTTCACGTTCCAAATTTACGCCATAATTGGAAAGCTCTATATAGAATAGGATAGTAAATCTGATTCGTTCTTCAGTTCATAACCATTAAAAATCTAACGTACGTCTTTGGGGCAAAGCATTGTACCATGGTTAAACTATGGTTAATTTGTCTATTAACCATGGTTTTTTGGTTTTATTTGTAGTGAAACCATGGTTAATTTTTGTAAGGGAGAATACAAGATTATAGCCTAATGTTTTAAAATTATACTAAAATTATCATATAATCATTTACTAAAGTTTTCTCTGCACAAATTTTTTGACTTAGAACAATTTTATCTTGTATTCACTTGCAGAACTTTTGCGTTCTTTTGCAAGTGATTGCATTGCCCTGAGAAACTTTGCATTTACTTGTAAAATATTGTTAACTGAGAATCTTTGCATTCTCTCACAAAAAAACTTTTTTTGTGAAACTTTGTTTTCGCTTGCACAACTTTTTTGTTCTCTCAACAAATATTGTGTTTCCCTGAGAAAACTTTTGCTCAGAAAACTTTAGTTTTCTTGCAAAATATTGTCTATCCCTGAGAAACTTTGCACTTTTGCGTTCTCTCACAAAAGTATTGTGTTTTTCAAACTTTGCTTTCACTCGCACAACTTTTTCATTCTCTCGCCAAATGTTTTCCTGAGAAACCTTGCTTTAGCTTGCAAAACTTTTGCGTTCTCTTGAAAAATATTGCATTTCCCTCGATAAAGTTTGCACTCACTGGCATTTGTGTTCTCTTGCAAAATATTGCGTTCCCTCAAAGAAGTATTGTGTTCTCTCGAGAAACTTGGTTCACTCGCAAAATCAATTTACTGTAGTCATTTTGCAGAAGTAAACCTTTCGCCCTCACATGAAATTCCTGACTATGTGGATTCCCACTGACTTGATTTCACCTGCAAAAATTATTAGTATTAAAGTCACCATGAAATCAAAATTGAAAATTCTTATTTTATAAAGGACAGGGGGAAAAGCTGAAGCTGATGCTTCACTTTATAGCACTGACACCAGCCATGAGGGAGTACGTTACTCCTAAACATTGATATTACGACAACATTACTCTTAGGACATCGCAAACTATTTTTTTTCATGAATATGACTTAACCTGATGGAGGACGCGCTCAGTTCAGCTGCGAAACTATTTTACTGATAAATTCGCGGTGCAGCGCTGTCAAGAAGTTTCTGTTCGCGTCTCCGCGTGTGTGTGCGTCTGTGAGAGAGAGGCCGCAAACTGATCACCTCCATGCCACGCCGAATTGAGGCAGTAATTAAAGCAAAAGGAGCCCCTACCAAGTATTGAGTACATGTACAGTAAATGAGCATACTTTCCAGAAGGCCAACAATTCACTAATTTTTTTTTTTTATTGGTCTTATGAAGTATTCTAATTTGTTGAGATAGTGAATTGGTGGTTTTTTGTTAAATATCAGCCAAAATTATCACAATTAAAAGAACCAAAGACTTAAACTACTTCAGTCTGTGTGCATTGAATTTATTTAATACACGAGTTTCACAATTTGAGTTGAATTACTGAAATAAATGAACTTTTCCACGACATTCTAATTTATTGAGATGCACCTGTACTGTAGTGTCTATTGTAAATAATTTATCCGTGCACTGCATTATTTAAAAAAAATTTATGTGCCCTCGTAATCTTTAATCAAAAACGCTAACCTCCCCTCCCCCTCAAAACGACTCATCTTCTCTTTCGGTCACGAGCTATGGCGTAAGGGCGGAGCTAGTGACGTGAGGGGTAAACGCTGGGATAAACGACAGGGGAAAACTGAAGCTGATGCTTCACTTTATAGCACTGACACCAGTCACGAGGGAGTACGTTAACCCTAAACATTGATATTACGACAACATTACTCTTAGGACATCGCAAACTAATTTTTTTCATGAATATGACTTAACCTGATGGAGGACGCGCTCAGTCATTCAGGCAGTCTCTCTCTCTCTCTCTCTTGCATGCGCGCGAGTGTGCGCTGTTTAGGCATGTTTTGTGCCATTGATCGTCATCGTCATGCTTAATAAATAAAACATTTATTCATGCTTGGGTGCCGGCTGTGAATCCAGTGCAGACTCAGCGAAATCCCCCACCACTAACTGCAAACTGGCATTTAGATCTGCCTCCATTTTGTTAGCAACTCCTCAAAACTTCCAACAATCCAATCAATTCCCGTCCCGAAGGACGAAATCAAGTCCCCCCCTCTCATTTCAGATGCCGTTTCACTCGGATATACGTCACAGTAGAGAAGAAAAGACAATCGCAACTTCCATTTCATGCCGACTTTAAAGCCTTCTGGCTGGTTGCTAGGCAGGTGCTAGAGTTTCGTGTGGTTGCTGGGCAGTGACTAAAATGTTCTGAATGGTAGCTAGGGCGTTTTGGCTGGTTGCTTAAAAGTTTTGATCGGTAGATGAACAGATAGACTGTGGTATTTTAATGAAAACTATGGTAACCATGGTAATTTTCGAACTACTAAATACTGCATATAAATATTATGACCTATTCTTATGTAACTGTAAAGATTCAGCATCTGTATCTCCTCTCCATCAGGCTGCAGATGGTGCTTCTTCATGGTCAGGCCTTCACCTCTAAGACTTGGGAGGAGTTGGGCACCCTCAGCCTGCTGGCGTCCAATGGGTACCAGGCCCTCGCTCTCGACCTGCCCGGTATGAGCTCTGTAAACTTATATTTCACTTTATTAATGTTCTTGATATGCTGATTTATTAAAAACTTCTAAAGCAGATCACTAAACCGTCTTGTTTCTTGTCAGGTTTTGGGAATTCTCCGGACTCAGAGTCTGTAAAGTCGGATCAGAGCCGCGTGGACCTGCTAAAGCGTTTTCTGGAATCTCTGGGCGTGCGAGCACCGGTGTTACTGAGCCCGTCTATGAGCGGCCATTACGCCTTGCCATTCCTCCAGAAACACAGCGCCCAGCTGCATGGCTTTGTGCCCATCGCCCCCGTGGGCACCCGCGGCATCACCCCACAGCAGTACCGCGACATCCAGGTGCCGTATTTCTTTCAAATCATCTCACACTTAAGAATTCCTTGATTTTAATGTTCGGTTTTAATTCTCACTTCTCATCTGTATGACAGACTCCTACACTGATCATATATGGAGAGTTAGACACCAACCTGGGCGCCCAATCTCATAAGAACCTGATTCAGCTGCCTCATCACACCGTGGTGAAGCTGGCAGGAGCGCGGCACGCCTGTTACATGGACAAACCCCGCGAGTTCCACCGCACTCTGCTCGACTTCCTCAGCAAACTCGAATGAGGGATGGAGAGAGTGAGAACAGGTCAAACAAACACGTGAAAAAGACTTTGGAAGAGACTGGTTGAAGAAAAAGACCGATGCGAGACAAGAAAATGATGAACAGGACTGCGGTGTAGCTGTAAAACCAGTCCTGAAACGTAACACAACACCTGAACGTTCTATCAGCCATCCACATCTGCTCACTCCTTATAATTTCCCTGCGTGCACCATCAAGAGATTAGATATTATAATATATCAAATAAACAAAACTTCTGCAGAATTACTATAGTAAAGCTTCTTTTGTAGATTGTAAACATTTCCTTTTATCAGTTTTGACATTGTTGCCTGTAATAATGGCCTGTCCGAAGGTTGTAAAATTTTCCAGCCTGAGGGTTGTTCTGTAATGCTGTTCCCATGGTTTCCAGTCTGAGGAATGTTCCTGTAACAACACAATAGCCATGGTTTTCAGTCTGAGAATTATTCTGTAATGTTGTTGCCATGGTTTCTGGTCTGACAGATGTTTCTGTAACATAGTTGCCATGGTTTCCTTTCTGAGAGATGTTCTGTAACGCTGTTGCCAGGGATTTTCCTGGAACAAAATTGCCATGGTTTCCAGTCTTGAGAGTTATTCCGTAAACGCTGTTTCCATGGTTTCTGGTCTGACAGATTTTCCTGTAACATAGTTGCCATGGTTTCCTTTCTGAGGGTTGTTCTGTGTCGCGGTTGCCATGGTTTCCAGGGTGAAAAATGTTCCTGTAACTCAGTTGCCATGGTTTCCAGTCTGAAGAATATTACTGTAACTCAGTTGCTGTGGTTTCCTTTCTGAGGTTTATTCTGCATCGCTGTTTCCATGGTTTCTTGTCTGAGGAATGTTCCTGTAACGCAGTTGTCGTGGTTTCTTATCTTAGGGTTGTTCCCATAAAATGGTTGCCATGGTTTCCAGTCTGAGAGTTATTCTGTAACGCTGTTGCCATGGTTTCTGCTCTGACAAATGTTCCTGTAACTCAGTTGCCATGGCCTTCTTTCTGAGGGATGTACCTGTAACACAATTGCCATGGTTTCCAGGCTAAGAAATGTTCCTGTGAATCAGTAGCCATGGTTTCTAGTCTGACAGTTGCTTCCAATAACATGGTTTCCATTCTGAGGATTGTTCCGGTAACTCAGGTGTCATGTTTTCTGGTCTTTGGCTGTCCCTATAATAGAAATTCCATGGTTTCCTGTATGAGGATTGTTTTTTAATAAGATTGTCATGGTTTTCTGTAACAACGTGAGTCACATAATGCCAAAAATCAGTGTCATGACGGTCATAACCCTCCATCTCAAATATGCTTGACAGAAGTCATCAATCCTACAAGAACATCTCAGAGAAGAAAACTGTTTCTTATTTTTGGCTCAAATAGGTTTGTCTTATCATCGAGTGAAATCATATAGAGTGTTCACACCAGCAGTTGGCACATACATACTACTGAATGTAGCATGTAAGTGTGTGAATGACTCACCATATGGTTTTAGAAGTGCACAAATAGAGACACAAGTTGCCGTATTGGACGCCTGTAAATTCAGTTTTTCATTATCAGTAGTTGTCAGACTCGTACTGGCAGTAGATTATTCAGATTATTATTAGATTAAAAAATAGAAAATTTCCTGAGACTGCAGAGAAGAAAAAGTGTTCACTAAATGGTGCTGGTATTACATTGCCACACCTAAAAATGTAGGTGTTCATTACATATTTATTATTTATTACTTAAAGCTTCTACATGACAGAAACCGTAATGTGTGTGTGGTATTTATGTGCTGTGGTCTGTTGTTTTGTTTGTTTATAGCTTATAAATATGAATATGTTTTAGAGGACAGTGAGGCACCTCTGACCACCATTTCTGACATCCCGAATCTTCAACCTGAAGGGATGCATGGTACTGTGCAGAGCCATGAAACATGCTTTTGTTCAATGCAAAATAAAGTTCATTAACATGAATGTTTTGGCGTTTGTGATTTAATGATTGTAAGGGGTCTATAAGTTCAAGTGCACTAAATGAAGTCAAAGTTTATCAAATGCAAAATATATAAATATGAACTAAACCACGAAATAAACTTAATTCTGTAAAAGAAGTATAATGAACTACTCAAAAAATAAAAATAAACATTTCAAAAGGCCTCCAGGACGTTTTATAATGCCCAAAATTCAAACTCAGCCCTCACGCACGGGTTCTAACCCTAACTCTCTGTCAAAAACTTAGACTGGCTGTTGGTTGGAATATTAGAACTAAAAACATTAACATAACACTAAAGGGCATCAATCACTTCAATGAATACTTGCTGGGTAATAAATAAATATTACCTTACAATCCTTCTGCTTTCAAATCCACATTATATGAATATCACAAAATTGATTTCTGTGAAAAAATAACGTGCAGGATACACTGAGGTATTTACGAGAAGCACTGGGGTCCAGGGAGTACACGGAAAGCCCACACTAATGGATGTTTTGACTAAAGAAGAACATGGTGGCCTGAGTGGCTTCAACATGATGTCTGTCAGAGACCGTACCTATAACGCATGCGAGTATACATTTGTTCTTGACTAGCTGAAATTAACTGGTACTTTTCATATAATGTAGTTTGATCACTATCTTCTCAGTTGTTTAAAAGATTAAGGCAATTATAAAAGTTTGATAAAATGTTAAATTTTCCAATGAAAGATTATACATTTTGACACATACATATAATAGGAGTAATAGTAGTATAATTGTTAGAATAGTATTATAATTATAGTGTTATTATTATAGTGGATGCAGGACAACCACCTAGCAGTGCATTACAATAGTCCAGTCTAGAGGTCATGAATGCATGAACTAGCTTGTTATTATAGTAACTATTTTAGAGTTATATTATTATCATAGTTATTTCCGTGAACTTCTAAGAAAATAAAAAAAGAGAAATGATAAAATTAAGCTAAAAAAAATCTACAGGAAAAAGTAAAGTTAACAAGGAAAATGGCTTATATAATTTTTTTTGAATATAATAAAATATAATTTTTAAAATACCGGAAAAAAGCAAAAAAGCGTTTTAATGATTCTTTACTCGTGTTTTGACCACGTGTGCGCATTGTGTGTGGGCGTGGCCAGGCGGAATCGAATGATGCCGACGTCATGATGCACACCATGAGTCTCTCTTCGGGAAGATGGCTGCCGTGTACATGATGCGAAACTGAATGGACCGAAAACAGCCGAAAATTGCTAAAATCCCCCCCCCCCTTTCCTCCTCTGTGTCCCACTCCACATCCATACACATGCGTTCGCGTTAAAACGAAGCCGATTTTAACCTAGTGTGAAGAACTAAGATGATAATATGACCCAGAAAAAGAAGAAGCGAGTGAATCGCAGTTTGTTACTGGCGAAGAAAATCATAATCAAGGATGGAGGAACGGTGAGTGGCTTCTGTATTCAACCGCAACAAACACATCCGATACGGAGGTTTAAGTCTTAAATAAGCATATACATACGTATTATGTCAATGTCTGAAAGACGAAATGCTTTGAGCACGCGTTGGAGGAGTAACTGACATTCAAGGCTGTAAACATCAATATTTACTTCCTGTAAAGAGCAATAAATCACATCAGCACACATAAATCTGAAGATCATACGTGTTTTTATGAATGCACAGGTGGTTTGATGACACACTAGATGCCTTTAAAAATGTTACAGACTTAACTATTATGATGACGTTCAAACAAAACAGTATAAACATTCATTAATATTGCTACACCTAGTTTTACCTTTTTTTTTTTTACATGGATATGGTAGTCAATCAGTACCATGATAATTATCAAAGTACAATGCTATTATCATCTAATGTTATTATGGTACTGCCACAGTATTGATTTGTAAGGGTAGATATGCGAAACTTCATATGTCATTTAAGTATATAGTCTGTCAGACAACTCATGATCATGTTTAAGTTTACAAGGGTTAGATATAAATTTAGTTGTCACGAAATGTATCTCCTGAAAACAGTGTTTTTTATATACTTTATATTTTTGAATATATATACACTTTTTGAATTAGCTTTTTAATTTAAAATCAGTTATTAATATTAATTGAATTAGCCTTTTATTTGAATTGTAGTAAGTTTTAGTAATTTTATTATGAGCTTTTGTAATTTTTATGTTTTGTGTAAATATTTCTATTTTATTTTTATGTTTAGTATTTTAGTTGTTGTAATTTTAATACTTAAACTTAATATATTTCAGTTAGTCCCCAAGGCAACATTTTTAACTTTTAGTAATAGTAGTAATAGTAATTTTAGTTGTGTGCTTTTGCCATTTTTATATTTCTATTTAGCTTTATTTATTTCACTTTAAGTTTTAATAATTTTTGTACTTGCCAAGTAAATATTTGTCATTTTTGTTAGTAAAGTTTTAGTAATTTTGTTATGTGCTTTTGTCATTTTTATTGTTTTTTTTATATTTATGTTTAATTTTTTGCAAGTTTTAGTAATTTTTGTACTTACACTTATTTTATTTCAGTTAAATGTCCGTTTGTTTTTCATCTAATATTTATATTTTATTTATTTGATCTCTATTCCAATTACTGAAAGCAATTTTGAAATCGTTTCAGTGAACAATAACAATACTGCCTGAAAACAGCCATGTCTTTACAAATAGGCCAGTGATGATAAATATCGTAATGGTCAGTGATTTGTCTAAAATGCTTTAAACTCAAATGAGCCCCTCACATGTGCAGATGTGGTCAGTCCCATTGAGTTGTAGATCATTTGCTTGAAATTTTCATAAACCCACCCACATGTTGCCAGAAACGATTGGCTTTTTCCCATGACAGAAGCAGACAGGTTATCAAGAGTTGCGATTTTGCTTGTTTTATTAAAATTGTAGGTTGTTTGGATATGTTTTATCTTATACAGCACAAAATAAGCCAGAATCTGCACTGGTTGGCGCTCAAAAAACAGGTGCATGATTCAGGTCACGAAAACGTCTGATACTCTAGTTTGATAGATTAGGCCTCAAACAGTCCTAATCATGTAATCTCTTGGTGTCAAAACCAATCCGAAGCTCTAAAGGATATGTAATAATACTGGTTTGTTTCTTCACCATGGCTGACATCTCTGGTTCTTCTCTCTTCAGCCTCAAGGCTTTGGTTCTCCTAGCGTTTATCATGCCGTCATCGTCATATTTCTGGAGTTCTTCGCTTGGGGTTTGCTGACAGCACCTACTTTGGGAGTAAGTTGCGGTTGTTTTGAACCAAAAATAAGCTTGTTTTTGTGT